TGTAATAAAATTACTTCAAGCGGAACTCGAACCCACGACCTCTAGCGTATAGATAGCCATATAAGGCGATCACAACCGGTCATCGGTTAGAACAAACTCAATCACTGTTCCATTTTCAATCCACCTGAATCTTAAAACTGTACCGTTGAAATTGTCAAACTCAGCGCCGCGGGTCACGTATAAATAACTTTCATCGTCAATACCAAAATTAACTTTATTATTATAAAAATAAAGCTTAAATTCAAACAATGACTATACATTGCTGTTATTGCATATACGATTCTTATTCTTAATAAGAGTGACTCCCACTCAGGCACGCAAGCTGATAAGGGTTGTTTTACATGATGTTATAACTAGATATAATATTTAATAAATTATGTAGAAATCTTATATATTTAAACGAGCTATTCTTGTATATATATATATATATATATATATATATATATATATATATATATATCAATATATAATCTGAATCTCGGAAACGGCTCCAACGATTTTCATGAAATTTAGCACGCAAGGGGTTTCGGGGGCGATAAATCGATCTAGATTAGTCTTATATCTGGAAAAACGCGAATTTTCAAATTTTCATGCGATTTTCTTTTGCATTTTCACAATTTTTGCATTGTCACTTCTGGTGAGTGAGCGGCGCCACTGTGCAACTGTCAACATCGTGTCCGTATTTACATCAAGTTTAAATATATTTAAGTGAAAATAATCTAAAGAAAAATTAAATCTAATCTTAGTAAATTTTTAAATAAAACCTATGGGCAATATGTAAACATCACCAAGTCTTGATGTGTTGAAGAACAAATCAGCTTTTAAAAATTCACCTACCAAACAAATACAAAAGTGACAAACATAACATATAGATACTATCAGTGCAAAACCATCTTTTCTGTGTGTGATGACAATAAAACAAAATAATTTGTGAAGTGAAAGCGTCAAATATTAAAACATAAGTTTATAACCTCAAAAACTAATAGGTACTCGGTATAAAATTGCAATTCAACTAGGTATGATTGGTGCTCTTTTTCAATCAGCTTTTCTACTTCCAACTTCACACTTAAGATGGAGAACATAAAAAAGTTGCTAATAAACATGCAACAAGAAATAAGACAGCAGAAAACAGAAATGTTAGAAATGTTGGAAATGAAAGAAGACATTAAAAATACAATCAACAATAATATACTTAAATGAAAAATATAAACAGTTAGAAATAAAAATTGAAGTTCTTGAGAAAAAAATCCAGGAACAAAGTACCTCAATAAATAATTTAGAAAGACATATTAGGCGCAAGAACTTGGTTATGTTCAGAGTAGAAGAAGGTGAAAAATCCTATCATGAACTAGAGGAAAAAATAGTCTCAAACTAAACGGAAATAAAAAAGAAGTCTGCCTGTATCTCCAGAAACGCCTTACCTCAATTATAAACAAAAACTAACAAATAAACAACATACAAAGACAACCATACCTGGTAATATTAAAGACTTTATATTACAAAACCCAAAATTCACTTTCAACCACACAAATGATAACCAGGAACAACAAAAAACAACACAGCAAGATATAGTATATTAAACACCGTAGGAACCTCCTCATCTTTATCCACCAGTACGGCCGGTCACTGTGGGGGAGTTCGACCGTAACCCTCTAAAGAAAAACAGACATACAATGAACAAAGGTATACATATCTTTACCAGAAAAACTTCTAGAATTAAAAGCAGCATTTCCTACAACAAATCAAAAGAACACAAAGATAAAATTATAAAATTTATAGGCATATCAGAAACAAATTATATATTGAAAACAAAATTTGAGAGAGAGAAACCCTTTGCAATCATACAAGCATAATCTCCAACGGAGAGCTCTATGCAGGACTACTTTGGAGGAGGCTTTTAACCGAGAGGGGTCTATACATGAAAAATACATTTACTAAATAAATACATTTAATTATGAAATGAAATACCTAATTTATAACTATTGTCAGAATTAATCTATGGAAAGAAATTTTATTTATATTTATTATTGTGAAATGTTTAGTATTTACTCAATTGAATTATTTAATTTATTGTGATTTTTTATTTATTTATTTGTTAATGATAATTTATATATATATACAATATCATTTCAAATAATATGAAGATTTTTAAAATAATTTAATTCCAGATTACAAAATTATTAGTAAAAAAATTATAAGTTAATAAATAGTCATTAAATTATATAATTTTATATTTCAGCAATGTGATAAAGACATTTTTTTTTATTGTACAACTAAAATGGATCCTTATATACTCTTAACCAAATAAAATTTTAATGGAATACTTTTATAAAAAGCTGTGCATACTTTTAAATTAAATTTATATACAGATAGGTAAAATTATAATGTTAAATAAATGTTTTTATGTAAATTTAGTTAGTAAGCCTTTATAATAAATAAATGAATAAATAAGTAGAGCTTTATTATTATTATGATTTCTTTTGCATTATTTCAATAAATTAATTAATAATTCCACGCTATATTAGCTTATATTATTATTATGTTCGATAATTTCGCACATTCAGATATAAGCATCATGGTCAAGCGGCCAATGCGCAAGTTTGACAACCACAGGAATCTGAGTTCGTATCCCGGTCGGGCACAAAGTTTTTAATTTTGTTTTTTTTTATGTTATTTTTTTGGCCAAAAACTCCGAGCAAAGCTCGGTCGCCCAGGTACTAAATATAATTAGTAATACATGAAAATGTTAATAAATTACTTAGCTCTATATCGTAGAGAATAAAGAGCTGCAATTTTCATTCTACGAATATAAACCCAAGACTCGCTTTTACTTAAACTTAATCTATATCAATAAACATTATTAAACCGAAATGGTTTTTCAATTTAATTCAATTTTCTTCTTAGAAACGGTTTTTATAACTTACTAGTGACTCATCCTCACTTCGCTCGGGTTCATTCCTACTTACGTTTTAACGTTTAGTATCGATTTCTCAGAGATTAGATATTTTCCCGCAGTAAAAAGTATCCTATATGTTGACCTGGATAACCAGCTATCATCATACCAAATTTCATCAAAATCCCTCCAGTGATTTTTCCGTGATGCGGTAACAGACAGACAGACAGACGAAAATTCTAAAAACTATATATACGGCCTCTGTATCGATAATAATGACTATTTCAATAAGATTTTCCAAAAAATATTTAATGTACATATTAGTTACAATTTTATTATATGTATAGATAAAAAAGTTTTTTTACATAATAAGCTTTTAAGGTAACTAACATGCCTACAAACAGATATAAGCAAGTATAAAATAAACAAAAAACTTTATATTTCGTATAAGCATCATGTAATCCTGCGTGTAGCAGTAAGTGGAATCATACGTATATTTCCAAGTATGGCTGCGTCACAGCGCCCGGTGCCACTGCGCAGGCATTAGTTAACTATACTTAAAATTTAACAACTTAAACGTGTTATTTTAAACCATTTTTTTTGTTTAAGGTTTAAATAAATTCTTCTTAGCTTTACGAGTATTATGTCACCTGCAAATAGAGAAAAATAAAATTATAAGACAAACTAAATAGTTATAGGATTCGAAATCTGTCACCAAAAGTACTTAGATTAAAAAAACAAATAACTATTACGTAACTAAAACGTTATATTATTCAATATATTATATTTATTACTAGGTAATTTTATTACTAGGGTAATATATTTTATTACTAGGGTAAGTAAAGTTTGGTTATTTGGCGAGTTTGTTTATATCTTAAAGTGGTTAAGCATAGAATAATCAACGTGCAGACTGTTCACGTTACCACCGTGCACATGGAATGTAAATAGGCGGGCAACAACCGCTCGGCAAAAACTCGGCTAAATTATTTATCATTTATACACAGTATAGTCATGCCTCATGGTTTCGCACCGTTTGTTACTGTGGTAAAACAACATTGTATGACATTGTGAAATCTGTGAAGTTTCTGCTAATTAAACAATTAAAATTCACTACATGAATTTATACATGGTTTTGTGTTATTATTTACCATTGAATCTGAATGGAAATTGTATTTAATCTGTAAATTTGGTTTTTTATTGTAAGTAAAAGTGGATAAAACGATACGATTATCTATTTTTTAAGTACGTATATATTTACTTAATATTAAGATGACTTTATAAGTGGTAAGAAATTGTTATAGGATATAGCAATGTGGTCATTAGCTATATTTTCTTTATTTGACCTGAAGAAATTTAAAAACAAAATCTGAAATCGTATCTTATTCATACTCTATATTCCATCACCTGTCAACCTGTCAAGCTGTCATTCTGTCAAGTCGATATGATAGTGCTGTTCTTAGAAACTGATAAGGATGATAACAGTCCAATATAGCCCCTTGATGAAACGTTTCAGTTAAGAATATTCTAATCTCGGTGACAAATGATATTTCTTGTCACGAATAGGTTGTTCTAATTTAAATGCAGGAATAACAGCCGTTTGAACAACGTTAGTTTGAATACATATTATTAAATATTATTGATTAATAAATGTTTAATAGTTTTATTAAAAAAATATATAATTTTTCTAGACAATTTATAATTATATAAGCTCCTTTGAAATTTTAAAATATGTATAGATTGTTTATGGAAAATAGTAAGCTATTTGTCGGATATTTATTTTAATATTTTAAGGTAGGTATATTTTAAAAACTAGTAAATTCTCAGAAATTTGTACTAATATTACCTAGTTATACATAACTATGTTGTAATTATTATACAACAAGCAAAATATACCAATTATATTTTAAATAATAATAGTTATAAGATGAAGAAAAAGTGAAAAATACTTAAATGAAGTTGAAGGTCGTTCAAATAACTTAATATTCTACATTTTCTCACCGCATGCCCCGCACTAATTGCATTCTTCCATAATTGCAAGCGAGTCCTATTACGAACTCGAATACGCACTAGAAACGGTGTTTAACACGATTCTCTGTTCTTGTTTCAGATGCCATGGGTAAGTTCGAGACAACAGGAAGCCCCATAAATTATGGTGAGGCAGTAAAAAGATCATGTTAACAAAAATTTCCAATCTTCATAAAACTCGAAAAATAATTAGGGTCGTGGTTTTTTCAACGCGAAATAAGTTAATCGAACAACACTAGAAGTCGAGGATTCGCCTCGCGTCATAAAGTTTGATTAGGTCATTAAAGCATGTTAATTTATTAGCGTTCGAACAACTTTCATTTGTAATAAACACACAAAAATCGCTCATAAAAGTTTTACGTTACCGTTCTTTATGCGGCGTGGCGGGTGACGGCTTTTACGGCCTTTTAAAATGTTGCCAGTACGAATCGAAAATCACCTCACCTCCGGTACGGTTCATTGTCGATAGTGCTGATTTAGAAATATTGTATTTTAATGCAATCATAATAAAAAGTGTAATATTATATATTATATACAAAGTGTTGAAATATTTTTCGGTTTTTAATTAAGAAATTAGTAATTGAATTCATCATTTGTTATAATAATTGATAATAGTTCATAATAAAATTATTATAAATGTTTGAGTAATTTATTTACAGAAGTTGTTAATTTTATTAGATATTACTATTTAATTTCAATTCTATTTAAGTTCTAACTGGCTTTCGTTTGTTTTTCGAATATTATTTTGCTAAAGTATCAAAACAAAAGCTATGCAAATTAAACATTAAATATTTCCGGTAAAAAGATCCATTTTCATACCGTATTCATATTCATACACGTCAGAATGACGTATTCATTCCAATTTCAAAAATCAACGTTCGTATCCGTTTCAATTTTGAAATTTTGTCAGTTCGGAAACTGGGTATTCATTTGGCGGCGATGCATAAAGTAAATTAAATTGTACAAAATCGGACACGGGAACACACTCACGTCTTTTTATTTTATAACAAAACTAATATTAGGTATTGTAGCGTGTGACACAGTAGCAGCAAATAAAGTTGGTATGCCTACGGATGTGATATTTATAAATTTTAACATAACTGCATACTTATTAAAAATAAAAACTATGTATGTATAGAAAAACGAGTCTAAATTCCATAAATTATCCTTTCATGAAATAATATAGATATCGATTTATTAACATACATCTAACGCCATCTGTTAGTGCATAGCGTAAATATATCTCAATCATCGCAATTATCTTTTCTTTGTGTACAGCAATTTAATTGACTTAAGTGCAATTTATTATGCCTCAAATTAACTAACAAATAAATAAATTAAATTATTTACAGAAAAATCATGATCTATACTAATATTATAAATAGAAAAGATTTACTTTTTTGTTTGTTTGTTTGTACCGAATAGGCTTAGAACTACTGAACCGATTTGATGAAATTTGGTAAGATAGTTTGAGATCCTGGGAAGGACATAGAATAGTTTTTATCCCGGATATCTAAGGGAGTGAAAATGGGGATGAAAGTTTAAATGGGGAAGCAACCTAGGGACAAACGTAGTCGCTAATATTTCATATTTTTATCTCAAATTAGAATATGTGAACTTTTTTTCTTATAAGAATACCGTTAAAAAGATAATAGCAATCTCATATCTTTTATTACGTGGTACGCGTCAGTGCGGCATTGTCTCGTAATCACCGCTCTATGATTAATGATTGTATAAGCGACCAGAAACTTACATCTAGCGTTTCCATACTGTTTTGTAGTATCTTTTTTTCTATTTTTTTTTATTTCACCATACACGTATATTTCTTTTAGGTTTACAAGAGCGAATGGAGTATCAAACGCTATGAACTGTAGATACTTATTACGTTTCTATTTTTGTTATCGTTATCTTCATATTTATGTAGAGTCCTTAAAATGTTGATTAGAGCTTTAAAATATAAAAAAAAGCTTTGTTATTTACTTTCGAGTTTCCTTCCTGCTATTTATTTGATCATTGCACCATCTGTACCTACTTGTATATTATTTTATTCAAACTTTTTTCATATGCCAAAATTTGAAGCAAGCACGATTTTTGTTTATTTTAAATTTTAATTCTATTTTACCACTTGATTGACACATTGTACTGAAATATATACTGAGTATAGACAAGAATAAGTACAAACTCATATGTAATGTACCTATCGTTCCAAACAGCACAATAATTTATTCTAAAGGAAAATTATCTGATCATAAAATTTTTTTAATATTGATCAATGAAAATCTATCTCTACATCTATTATTTATTATGTTTGTTTATCATAATTTGTACAGCTTTATCGGCTGACTGTATAATTGAGCATTCGTATATATTTTGTTTTCTTAGATATTAGATAAATTTAATACTAACTTAATTACTTGTAAGTGAAATAAAAACACAAATTAAGTGTAAACGTGATGTACATCTACAAATTAATACTTCTCATTAAAATTATCATAGATTGCAAGTAAAGTTACTATCCACTTAATGAGAGCTATGTATAGCTATGATTAGATTTATTTTTATCGTGTTTTATACTTTGTAAGAAATCTGTTACAGCTTTTGTATTTATGTTTTTTTTTACATATACGATCGTATATATGCACGTTGCGTAATAAGTACAGAACATGAAACTAATTATGATATAATTAAAAATGAATATATTTATCTTATAAGCGTATTTTGGAGATTAAATTATCTATAAATAACATGATTAGCAATTGCAAATTATTATATGTGTTTATAATTAAAACTAGCGACTCACCCTCGCTTCGATCGAGTTCGTCTCTAGGTTGATTCCCCATACAAATTTACATCCCCATTTTCATCCCATTAAAGAACGATTTCCGGGATAAAAAGTATCCTATGTCCTTAACAGGGTTTCAAACTATCTTCTTACCAAATTTCATCTAAATCGGTTCAGTAGATCCAGAGATTACCCCCTACAACGTTACAAGCTCACAAACTTTACCTCTTTATAATATTAGTATATAGATAATAAAGACTCTTTAAAGAAACCTTACGCGTACAAAGCAAAGTGAAGGGGCTAGTGTTTTACCACCTTAGCATATACATTTTTATTATAACTTTGTTATATAACTGCACAGACAGAAATCAGCATTTTGTATAATTGTAAACGTTCATCAGATCGACGCTTTATCAAACGATATCGCAATTATACCAATTATAAACACAATGACTGATGTTTTGTTCATTTTTCGTCACGCTCGTTTATATCTGATTTGAGCTTAGATTATTAAAATTAACTTGGTTCCAATTGATTTTATTATTTGATTGTTAGCTTTCTTAAGGAAATAAAATACGTAGTAAAAAAATCATTGTGCTTTAACATTAAACTAGCGACTCAACCTCGCTCCGCTCGGGTTCGTCCCTACTTCATTTTAACGTTTAGTACAGATTTCTCAGAAATCAGATATTTTCTCGCAATAAAAAGTATCCTATAGGTTGACACGGATAACCAGCTATCATCATACCAAATTTCATGAAAATCCGATCACTGGTTTTTCCGTGATGCGGTAACAGGCAAACAGACAGACAGACAGACAGACAGACAGACAGACAAAAATTCTAAATCCTCTGTATCGATAATAATGTCTATTTCAATAAGATTTTCCAAAAAATATTTAATGTACAGATTCGGCTTAGTTACAATTTTATTATATGTATAGATTAATATCACAGACGTAAAGATATTTAAATTTATTTATTTCTTTTCTTTGTAAAATATCTACCTTTTCGTGGTTCTCAAGTTTCAATGTTAGCGAACTTTAAACGTGATAAGTTTTAAGAGTATAGGGTCATTAAAAAAGTTATTTAACTTCAAATAATGTTTACATCGCGGATAAAAACAAACAGTTAAGCATTTCTTAAGCATGATATCATATTGAATTCTCGAAAAGGATATCGTCTTTACAAATCCCATTTATTTTATTGTTATTGTTAACAGTTGTGACTTGTTATATAGTCACGAAATACCGCTAAACGTAACGTTGACACATTTGCTTTGTATGAGATTCAAATTTCAATTCAAGATGGCGACCTTCGCCGTATATCAATCGTGATTTACGCGCCACGGTCGAGGTCGACGCCCGAATTTCGTTCAGAAATGCACTCGCCGAGTAATTTATTTGTGACCATCTATTATTTTGTAGACTCACGAGGTCCTAAACGCAGCTGACATTAATATATCATTTTACGCGACGGCATGGCCTACGGTATATCGGTCTCGCTCACACTCATCTTCATCTCGTAGGATAGAGCGGGACGGCGATGGGGGCGAGTGGTTCGCGTTTTCACTTTTTATAGTAGCAATATATTTGATCAGCTGATCGTCATGACGTTTACTGCGCGTGTATGTGTAATGTTTTTCATAATTTATATTATAGTTGTTTTGTGTTTTTATTCGAGTTGGCTAGGTCACGGTTTATTTATAATACCGAAAATTCTAAACGTCATACTTCCGTGTGATTTCGCATATAAATCTCTATATTATTATCTGTTTTGAATGAAAATTGTTATTTTCATTATATATTTAAATTGTGTAAAATATGAGCCGGAAAGTTTTTACGTCTCACTTCAAACTTGATCCCAATTAACCTTTGGCAACGGCTTTACGAAAAGTGAGCGCCATTTTGTAAATTTTGCGTTTGACGTTTGAGAAAAGTCAATAACAAAAGTTTAGGTTTTTAGTGAACATGTGTCTAACGTACCGGTAACATTTCGTCGAGACATATTTTGTATCAAAGACTTCTTAATTTATTTTAATATTAATAAAAATAAACAAATCTCAAATTAAAATACCTACGTTAAAAATAATATGTAGCCTTTTTATATATTACAGTATATTATGTTTAAGAATTTTAATAAATAATTAGACAATCGCTTAAAAAAATATATAACTTAAAAGAATATGTAATTTACTAGAGAATAAATGTGGTAAAAATTACTTAAATCCAATGTTATAATTGTAATGGGTTCAAATTCGATTGAGGTATTTTAAATGAAATTTATTTAGAATGTTTTCTAGTTAAAACT